CAAAAATACCAAAAATAATTGAATTTTACTTATTGGGAAAATATCTATAGTTCAAGTAATTTCCTTTTTAAAAATAGAAAATTTGTGCATATTACGTATTTTCTTCTAGACCTCAACCAAAAGTGAGGTCAACACTACTAGAAACGAAATTATGATAAAAGAACTTATGAAAGGAGGCATCCTTTGGAGAATACATCGAGTTGATACACATTTTGAAGTTATCAAGACACCTCTTTGAGATTTATAAAAGAAGGAAGTTGAGACTTTTTGAAGTGCGGTTGAAAGTTCTGTCTAGTGTTGGAAAGGGTAAGTTTTTGAGAGAGTTTTGGAGAGATTTTCAGGCACCATAAATTTACATTATCCTTTTTGTTTTTAGTTTTATTGTGAGATTCAAGAGTGTTGTAAAAGAGAAGAGATTCAAAGGAACTTCAATAATTTGGTGGAGAATTTGAGATAAGTTTTTTATCTTTGTTATTAAACTACTTTTGGTTCTAATCGAGACTTCTTGTTGGTTTGACAATGATTTCTACTTTTAAACTAAAGTGTGATTTTGTTTTCTCTAAAGATTCTGAGTAGTTTTCTTTATCTTTCTCCTTAAAATGATAAGTAATTAAAAGTGTTGGATGGAAGTTATGGAGAGTATTAATCTATAATGTTGGAAGAAGTTGTAATGATTTAAATTCATGTATTTCATTTACTTCTTGATTTGTCCTATCTAGATGTTAAAATTTGTTGTGAGAACATGTAAGAATCGGGCTGGTATTGTCTCAGTTAACAATCAGAAAGAATCACATGTGGTTGTATGAATGAGAATGTAATTCATATGATTTAGTGCAAATAAATAGAGAAATAATCTTTGAAGGGTGTAGAGTTAGAGGACTTAGGACGTTAAAGTGACAGGTTAAAGCCCCTAACTTGGTTTATTATTTTAGGTTATGATACGAGATGTTAGCCATCAGGTGGTGGGAATTGAGAGACCTCTAGAGTGAGAGCTGGTGTCTTCCCTGCCTAGCCGGCCTTCATAACTATTCAAACTTTAAATTAGCCAATGTTCTTTATAG